GCTGGCATGTGGTGCTGGGGATTGAACCGTGGTCCCTGTGCTTTGCTAAGCTTGTTCTAAGTAGGTGCTTTAGACCACTGAGCCATCTCACCAGCCCTCAACTCAAAATTTAATGATGACTAGGAACCCAGCCCTCTACAAAAGCCCTGGGTTCAATCTCCAGTACCACAAAAAAATAAACCAGATGGCCAGGCATGGTGCTGCATGCCTGTAATCCCAGCACTTGGGAGGCTGAGACAGGCAGGAAGATAGTTGCAAACTGGAGACCAGCCTGCGATACAAAGTGTGCTAAAGACCAACCTGAACTGCATAGCGAGCCCCTGTCTCAAAAAGGGAAAAAAGGTCAGTTTAGATGCCACATCAGTCTCCCTCACAGCCTTATCTGCTGTCAGAAGTCAAAAAAAGTTTGAATTTCAACTTTAAAATGTTCAACTCTTTTGCCTAAAATTTTAGAAAGCTTATTTCTGAGACTTGTATGGTACAAAACAAAGCACTCAGACCAGACTTGTAAAGTCATGGGTGACTTCAAATGAAAACATGATGGGATTAATTTACTGCCACAACTCAAATACCCTTGGCTTCTCAAACATATTGAGAAAATTTTTAAAAGAAATAAATTAACTCTATTAAGTTTATGTTGAAAAGTAACACTCTGCCAGGCCAGCAGGCCACAGCCGCCTCGGTAGTCCCAAATACCGGAAAACCTGGAGAGGAGCACTTAGGCCTCTGGAAGTTGGCAACACAGATAAACCCAGGGCCAGGAAAAACACAACAGAAACAAAAGTTTGATCCACATTAGAACTAGCTGTAGGAGGGCTGGAGAGAGCCCAGTGGACTAGGTGCCTGCTTAGGCAAGCCCTGGCACCTCGGTTTGACACCCAGCACCACACGCTGCACCAGCCTTGCCCCAGCCCATGGCATGCTGAGCTGACCCTGAGACCAACAGGGGTGTGGTGGCTCTTGCCTGTAATCCCAGGGCTGGGAAGGCTGAGACACAGGACCACTAGAGTCTAGTCTGAGCTGAGACCCTGAACTAAATTATCAAATACACAGAAAAAAAACAAGAATAAAACAATTAGCTGGGGCCAGGGATATAGAGTTTGATCCCTAGTACAGAAAAAAAAATTAACCAGGGGCTTTTGGTTTTGTTTTTTTAAGGCAGGGT